TCATGTGAACTCATTAATATGCATAACCATTATATCTCAAACACTGTTGTAGTTAGGAAGATGATTCCTGTGTTATCATGACAACAGTGAACCTGAGATTTGATTAAAATAACATATGACCATATATGGTCAGATGAACTCATTAATATGCATAACTGTTATAACTCAAGCACTGTTGTAGTTAGAAAGATGAATCCTGTGTTATTATGACAACATTGAACAAGATATTTGATTAAAATAACAGATAACCATATATGGTCATGTGAGCTCATTAATATGCATAACTGTTATAACTCAAACACTGTTGCAGTTAGGAAGACGAATCCTGTGTTTTTATGGCAACGTTGGACAAGAGATTTGATTAAAATAACAGATGACCATATATGGTCATGTGAACTCGTTAATATTCATAACATTTATATCTCAAATAAATATATGGAACCAACTGCATTTCGACCTCATGGTATTAATCATTCAAACTAATTGTGTATCATGTGTATCATTTGAACTCATTATTTATGGCATGTATACTTGGGCCCCTGTGATGCTGCTTGCAGCCTTAATTTTGTCCTTAATTTTGTGGTTTTATTAGAATTTTTCCTGATAACTCAATGTGTTTAATCTTGCTAGTCAGTATAGAAAAACTCAGGCAAAGCAAAAAACTTGCCCTCTATAGACATTACTTCAAAATATGTGGTTATACCAAAAGTTTACATGACAGAAATGAAAACATAAACACTAAGTTTTTTTCACCATTACACTTTTTATGCGTGTAGTTACCCAAATAACCCTGTTGATCCTGTATTTGTTTTTATTAGAAGTGTATCTTTGATAGCAGCATACACAGACATTGCATTTACTGTATTCAAATCATTAAAACATGACTTACTTAAACTGTAGATACTTGGTACACTTTTTAGTCCCCGTTCGGACAAAGTCCAAAAACGAGGACTTATAATTCGGTCTTCGTCCGTCCGTCCGTGCGTCCGTCCGGAGTCATATCTCAGGATCCCTTGGACCGATCCCGTTCATTATTTGCATGTGGCTAATACTTTATGTGGGATTCAAATCAAAATGGCTGACTGGCAGCCATCTTGTTTTTTGAAAATGTTGTATTCTGGACATGCTTTGTCAGTTTTCATTCACACTTGGTACATAGATTATACATGTTAGGATACATGTCCATGACAATTTATTTCACAATTGGATCAAAGATGGCCGACTGGCAGCCATCTTGTTTTTTGAAAATGTTGTATTTTAGACATGCTTTGTCAGTTTTCATTCAAATTTAGTATATAGATCATACATGTTAGGATACATGTTCCCGACCGTCTGTGAGTTCCTGAGTCTGTACATCCGTGCGTCAGTCTGTCCAGAGTCATATTTCAGAATACTGTGGACCGATTCCGTTCATTCTTTGCATGTGCCTAGTACCTTATGTGGGACATATGCACATGCAGTGGTTTAGCGATTTGATTCAAAATGGCCGACTGGCAGCCATCTTGTTTTTTGAAAATGTTGTATTTTGGACATGCTTTGTCTGTTGTCATTCAAACTTGGTACATGGATTATACATGTTAGGATACATGTCCATGACGATTTATTTCGCAATTGGATCAAAGATGGTCGACTGGCAGGCATCTTGTTTTTGTTTTTTCATGCTTGGACGTGCTCTGTCAGTTTTCATTCAAATTTGGCACATACATGTACTTTATACATGTTAGGATGCATGTCCATGACAATTTGTTTCAAAATCTGGTCAAGGATGGCCGATTGACAGCCATCTGACTTTTTGGCTTTATTACTATATTTCCTCAATTTATGTACCATTTTCATTTGTATTTGGCACATACATCATACATATCAGTGTGTTTCATAATCAGATCTAAGATGGCCGAATAACGGCTGATTTTATTTTTGGCCATATTACTACTACACGGAACACGTGTTTTGATGTAAATAAACAATCTGTTGTATATGCCACTTGGTACTCAAATTTCAAGGACATGCTCGTGACAACCCCTACGCTTTAATATGGCGAGCACAAAGAGAACTTTCAAAAATTTTATGAGGACTGTGTCAATTTCAATGACTTGTTATTTATGTTTTAAAGTACATGTGCTTTAAAAAAAAAAGCAAATAAGGTAGCTGCAAAACATGTAAAACTGATTCTTCAAATCAATGAAAATTGAGAAAACCCCTATTTTCACTTAAAACTATGTTTATTTCAGTGACACGCCGACTGAGTGGTTACAGAAGAAAGCACAATATTCTATAGGTTATCTACAGTATATTAACATTGGTCTGAGTAACCAAAACTTTCAACTAGAATTTAATTCTGATAATTCTTGTTATACCTATTTGGTTCGCGATGCCACACGATGCAAAACATTCATTGAATGCTTTACAGGTGAGTTATTACATTGCAGAGTACCGGTAGTAGTAGAGATTAGAGCAGCAATTGAGTCTGCCAACTTGTTTCTCCACTTGTTTGTGTGTGAGAATTACTTTAACACATGGATGGATCACTGTGAGAGAGGGTAGTGTTACATTGAATGTTGCAATGACATCAAATAATCTAGCAATGTATGCAGTTGATTTTTAAAACCTATCTGAATTTTTATTCCATATTCTATGTTCTGCTAGAGATTCATAAAACTTAACATTAAAGTAACTAATCAAAATTAATATTGACCTGTTTTCTACGATTTGTGGTTCATAGAATTCAGTTTTAGATATCTATATAAACAAATCCATGGAGAACAATGTGAGCAATTGTGTTAAGAGGTATTCAGTTTGCACAGCGCTCAGAATTATTGGGGGGGGGGGGGGTTACACAATATAGTTTGACCATATCATAACAGATGGTATTTATTATTGTACAATGTTTATTTGATATTCACAGGAATTATCAAAGGAATGCCTGAAAACAAACTAAAGGATATTACCAGTGAGAATCCGACGACGTACGCTAATCTCATCACTCAAGTCCTAATAACTGGTAGTCATGATGATAGTATCGTAGAAACTGACACCGACTTAATATTGTATTTATTAGCATATCACAAAGTAAAAAACAGTAAAGGTATGTATAAATTACGCAGTTTTATCTCGTTCACGTCTGTTGTCTATTTTAACCACCAATGTTTAATTATGGTTATCCGTTTTAACCAAGCGCTTCTAATAGAGCAAATACAATAATAGTGTTTTCAATTTCTATTTCTTATCACTGTATGGTTGAACTTTGAAAACCGGGACTATTAATTCAGGCTCCATTCATATATAAATCTTTAAACAATGACTATACGCAGGAAAAGACAATTAATTATTAGGTTATTAGGAGAATACCGCTAATTATGTAAATTCAACCACCTCTGCTATGCGTCTGTTAATACAGTAATTGCAATGCCTTCATGCACTATTATCTAAATTATTTTTAGTTTTGATTAGTTAGAGCTTTTTTTAATAAATAATAATAATAATTGATAATTTCATTCATATAAACAGGTCACAAAAAGCAGAAGCCCATCACTATAGTTGTCACAGCAACTGACATATGTTTGGTTGAGGAGGACCATCAGTGGCCGTTACCGAAGTTACAAGCGCCACCTTCTACAAAATCTCAACAATTTACATGTAAAATTCATCAAAAGATAAGCAATATTTCAGGAATTGTAAGTTTTTTGACTAATACATCCTTCTAGACCGACTGCAGCTGAAAAGTAAAAAAAAAAGAAAATACCTGTATTATTTGGATGTATAACCTCCTCTTATTTTTTCAAAAAAAATCTATTTTTTTTTTGTAAAATTTGCTGTGCTCAAAGAGATACACAAGCAAATCCAACAACATTTCTTTTGTTATGGATGTTTGTCAGCACTAGAGGGCGCTATTTATTGAAATTGGTGTATTATCTGTTTTATTGTAATCATGAAGCTCTGCCATGTTTGCAACACATAGACTGAATAATGTGAGCAGCGGATTTCCATGAAATGAATTACACTTGCCGTCATCTCTAAAAAAACAAACATTTGATGTCTTGGATGTATTTCCCGGGCTTGTTGGTGTTCAGTCAAACTGAATGACATTACATAACAACAACAACAATCTTTTTTTTGATAAAATATCTTGTGACATTCAAATATGATTTTGAATATTCAACATGCCAGATCATATTAAAATATTCAGCTCCCACCACAATAGTTTTCGATTTTAAATTTTAAAACAAAAGTATGCCTATACAACACACTCTAAGCAGTAGAAAATAAACGGATAAAAAGGAAAAAAATGCCAACGCCAAACAGTGCTGTATTCCTGATTTGTATTTGTTTTTGTTTTTAAATAAGAAATAATAGTATTGACCAAGATATAATTATGTGTCTTCAAATTTCAATTCAGTCAAATACCAACACGGTCTATGCCATTGACAGGGACTTTTATTTTACCTGATACCAGTGATGAACATTTAACAAATTTCAGGAAACAAGTAAAAAACATTGTTTTGTATTTTCATGTTTCAGGAGCTGTATGAAGATGCTGTTTGTCAGATTAGAATAGAATTTTTCAACGAGGTTAGTTTCCACTCTCTGATGCAGTTGTTAATAATTTCCCTTCAAAGTACAAGTGTTTTGTTCTATTTATAGATGGTCTTTGACCTTCATACCCAATTACCTCAGCTTGACAATTTTTTTCCCATAAGGAAAATTGTTAATGAACAAATTCACAACATAATAACTAATAGGGAAATCCGAGTAGACTATTCTTGAATTCTAAAATTGGACAATACCTAACTATATTTTGGGTTGACTATTGTAACAAATTTTGTTACTCAAATTTTTCATTAAAATTGTGCTTATGCTTTAATTTTTCATATAAGTTGAATTTTTTATTTTCATTTTATTTAAAGTGCCTGTGATATGGATGCTATTTTCACGCCTAAAATTATCCATTGATACCTAAATATTATTAATTTTTTTGTTTCTAAGCATGAATTATTTTTTTAAGTGAAAAAATGTGTTTTAAACTCTAGTCTAGGGCAACTTTATTTTTGTGTATTTTAAAACGAGGCTCCTCATTAGCTTCTCATTTGCATACAGAAATTCCTCTTGTGACGTCAGAAGGGGAAGTCGCATGGCAGCTTGCATTGCCGATACGTGTAAATAAGGCAAATTTCATGTGCAGTTTTCTCGTCTTTGACTAAATTTTCACTTATGTACTTGTTCGTTGAGGGGGAATAGACCATAATGAACACATACTGTCAATTTTTGTTGCATGGGGTTGAGTTAGATGCGAAATACCGGTATGTCCATTCTGGTGTAGCTGGTCACCGTGATCGTAACCGGCACACGTTTGTACACTGTAGATGGACAAAATAGAATGTGACGTCAGAATTATCTCGTTATTTAGCAGGTTACTAGGCACGTCACTACACTGTTTTATTTCATCGATCGTCTGGGTAAAACTTTCAAAATTAAAAAAAAAGAGAACATATTTTGACATTCTAAACATTAGACTATCGTGATCACTATAAAATAATTAACAAAAACAAATCACAGTTACTAAATAAATGACAGCCGCATGGAAATAAATTGAAATGTTGTTGAAATAGGTGAACATGTCGGGTCAGGACGAGGGCAAGTGCGTTAAAAGCGGCGTTTAATTGGATAACAAAAATAATTAAGATCGACACACATACAGATAAATTCAGAGTGGATTCGAGTTAGCGTGATCCGTGGTGTATTTGTCATAATTGTAACATCATATCACAGTCCCTCTATCACAGAGGGACTGTGATCATATTAAAACTTTATTTGGTGGAAACACATTGACCAAGCCCAGATTCTTATTTCATAAATTATTACGCAGATCAAACTGCAAGCATGGAGGTAAAAAAAGAACAGAGGTGTGAATTCGATATTCAACACCAATCACGAAACAATTCAGATACTTTTAGCCTTCGAAAATGAAAACAATTAGCAGTGTGTAAGGCTGTGTAATTTCCTGTTTGTCCGACGCTTCGTTTTCGTGTCACTGTCAAAATTATTGCTACCTTTTACTTAACATTGACTAAATGGTCTCTATAAAACGATCATAATCAGGATCGCAAAAGAAGTCAACTCATTTGAAACACTTGCCGGACGTTTCTCTCTCTTCTGAAATCCGCCTGGGTGATCATGGTCCGGAATCTATTTTTTTCAAAAGTGTTGCACCAGGTTTATGTTGACGGCATTTCTCTTTAAACCTAGTTTTTTTTTTCATGGACGAGGACAGTTTCCCCCCCCCCCCAAAAGAATCTGAGGTTAAGTGGCTTTCGTCCACTGATGTCGCACCTTCGGATCGATTAGAAACGTGTCAACACTTACACTATGACTATACGTTTCACTGCAACTGCCCACAACACAACATCTAAAAACTCTCTCTCTCTCTCTCAAAAAAAAGAAAATAGACACAAAAAAAGAAGAAAAAAAACGCCGAAAAATGTATATCGTTTAAAAGTATACTGAATGACCAGTGTTATTACGGATCAGGGGTATGACTTCCTCTCACATTTTGGCATTTGGTGGCGCACTTTCGGCGAGAGTCGGAAATCCGGAAACAGTCGGCCGTTTCAGGATAGGTGGGCGTGGCTACAACACGAGCAATATCCCAAATTTACTTGAATACGAGTAATCATTTTCAGCAAAAAAATTAATAACTGCCCATTTCTGTAGGACACAGATCTAAAATGGGAAACGTGAGGGTGGGCATTGCACAGGCACTTTAAGGTTTCACAAAAAACCTAACGACAAGGTTTGCAATGTCTTCAAGCTTAAATAATTTTCTTTGCTGCCTAATGTGTTCAAATGAACTGCTTAGTACAAACAAAACAATGCAATATTCCTTTTAGTAATTGAATTAATTAAAAATTTAATGTATATGAAATTATCTTTTTGCATTGAACAATTAATTAGGATACTGGTGACGAATCTAGTTGGGACGTTGTAACAGAAACAGAACAGTCAATGAACTCACTTGTCACTGCTATAAAGGATCCCTGGGAAAAGATATTTGCCATTGAACTTCAAAAAACAGTGCATCCAACGATTGATATTCAGGTAAGATGATTAAATGGCTTGTCTTGTACTGATTTGTTATGTGCCCACAATAGCAGAAACAGCTTTGATGACATTCACACAGCACTTAATGTCACGGCAATCACTCTCCATCAAACTTTCACAATTTTTCATAACTCATACACTGAACTTTTGCTTTGTTTGCTATCAATTTTCAACTACCAGCAAGTTATTGTCATAGCGCCCTCAGTATTATATGTGTGAAATGCTCTTGTTTTTATCATCAATTCCATTACTCAATATTAGCTGTAATTTATTTTTGTTGGAAACCAAAAACATGAGTTGACTTGCGTAATTTAAAATAAAATCTGTGTAAACTATCAGAGAAAAAAGTATTTTTATATGATTTTATTAGTCCCTGTTTTTATAAGTCCCTGTTCAGGCTACATTGTATGTCTGAAAACTGGGACTTGTGAATTGTCGTCTGTACATCCGTGTATGCAGATATCCGATCACATTTAGTCTTTACACATACATGTATATCACTGATATTAAGTGACATATGTACATACATTCATTTCATGATCTGATTCCAGAGGCTATTTTTGGATTTCATTCAGACTTGCTACATACATTGGACATTATGGGACCTTGCAGAAATTGCCAGTGAAAAAGTATTCTGTGCATATACTGCCTGAATATCTGCCTTTGTGCCTGACACATTAGGTTGCAACAGGCAAATCCCATGGCGTTTCCATTCTATCAATATATTGAATTTTTGAAGGCATGTATAAAAGTATTCCTAGGATAATTAGCTAGAATCTAGTCATTCCGAGTACACCTAAGAAAGCCTGGTGGTCCATTGCAAGGTAACTATGTAGTTGATACAGGATTAGCTGTCTCCATGACTTCAATACATTTCCATGAATACACATATGAGCAGACTAACCCAAAGGTTAAGCCCACCTACAACACTTCAGACCGATTAACAAGTCTATTATTTAGGGATTTGTCAAAGTGTAATGATCATAAGGAGCATCTATGGAATAATATCTATACTGTAAAAGTTTACAGCAGTCTCAAACTAGTTGTAAAAAAAAGCTGATTGTGTTACGCCCCCAGCACAAAGCAAGGCAGATCCTCACACACACGTCTCAAGACTTCTTGTTATTTGCTCTTCTCAGGTGGGGGGTGAAGAAGTTGACTGTTTGAACTGGGTTGGGTACTTCCTGGTTTGTTGTTGCCCTTTAACAGCAATATTTTTCAGTATTATAATTTGGACTTGAGTTTGCTTTTTTGGTGTGAAATAATTGAGAAATTTGTACCCGAATGTGTGATCTTTTGGTGGTCATGCATGAAGCCTATTTAAAATAAGAAGGTTACTAAATAATACTGAATACTGAATATTTAAAAATATAAAATCTTTTTAACACTTTAACCCTTTGACTACCAAATATTTTTCCCACCAAATATTCAACATAAATGTAGGTTAACACCTGATAATGGTGTTAAAAAATTGAAAAAAGGTCAGTGTTAGTGAAACAGAACATGTATAAAAGGTTAACCTTATTTCATATTCAAGATGTTGATGCAATTTTGCACAGCTAACAGTTGAGATCTGATAACAAATATTGATATATATACCTCGCAGACCTTTGACTCATAGCAAAGGTTATATACATCTCAAACTGAATTGTCATTGCTACACAGATCATTTGACATGGACTTAACATGACGTCAACCTTTTCACCACCAGACTTTTAATCTTATATCCTTTAATATTTTTGAACCCTAATTTTGAAGCCAATATAAAAAAAATTCAGTTTTTACTCAAAAAAATTGTTTATTTTTGTCCCAATCTTCTGAAGGAAAATGCAGACAGGACTATTTTGTGGATTTGTGATGAAAATCAAAAACTGGTGGTGATAAGGTTAAAGCAATACAGTCATCACATGTGCATGGGCTACTGCTCTATTATTCAGTTCTACACCACACCACACCACATATGTGCTATACGCATGTAAAACATAAACATTGGTCATGGTTGTAACTAGCACTTCATCATCACAAAAAAAAAAAAAAAAAAAAAACCTTAGTAAGACAGCTGTTTGAGTTTACTAGTTTGCCTGTAAGTGGGTTTTAAACTTATCTTTAAAAAATATAAACATTCATTGTATGGCATGTGCAGTTCTGACAGTAGAGCCACTTTATCAAAACCCCCATTAATAATCAGCATAGTGAGATATCAAAAAGATTCATTCATTTTTACATGATATTTCATCATCCAGCTCTCAGAACATACTTTATACCTCGCTATGCTCTTCCTATCACTGAGAGTCAGTTACGTTTGCCAATTCATCAAATAAATTCATCAAATCCTGAAGCTTACAAGCTTACAGTTTGTGGATCAAAATAATTTTATGTCATGGACAAGTTAATTTATTAACTGGATTTCTACAGATTTAAATAAGAAATTATTAATGCTTGGAGGGTCAAGAAAAAAAAATTTAGTGGGGGGGG